ATATATATATTACCAATCCTTTTATCCAGTTTTACTTTGAAAGTCCAGTTTGTGTGAAAGAGTGGATCAGATCAATCTGAGGCTTCAAAAACCACTTTCAGGTCTACAGATTGTCATGAAAGTTGCTCAGAATGTAGAAAAGTATTATTTATTGTGACTTTTGATCTCTGGAGTCTGAATCATATATTCAACTGAATGGAAAGCACAGGAATCCTTCAGTGAAGGAGCAGCTGTCAAAAATAATTCAGCAATAAACAATCATGCTGCATTATCAGAGGAAATGCAGATTTCTCTTCAGTCTAATCTGTGCTTCTCTCTGCGACTCAGGAGGTGAGGCGGGTGAGAGCAGCCATGAAGAAGACTACGATGAAGGKGGAAGTCTGGACGACATGTCAGACGGAGGAGGAGACGATGACTGCGGTGATGAGGAGAAGTGGTCGGCTGAGGATGTGGAGGAAGAGAAGCCAGGCGGCATGGCTGGATGGGCCGAGGCCATGGCCAAGATCCTGGGGAAGGAAAAATCGAAGAGCTGCGACAAGATCCTGGTTCAGAACAAAGAACTGAACAAGAGGAAGGAAGCGGAGAGGAAACTGAAGCTGGACAAGAAGACACAGGTACTGGGATCTGAGTCCGTTCTTTATAAACCCAGTGATCCAGGGTTTTGACTGATGAGCAACACCGGTTCAGACTGGTTCTTAGACCTGGTTCTGTGAGAGACAGACAGGAGCACCGTGGTGGTTTGAAGTTGAAGGTGTGTTTGTGTTAAACAGGTGGACAAGAAGCAGATGAGGGAGATGATGTTTCGAGAGAAACCTGACATTGTGAAGGACCGCGAGACGGAGAGAGCTCTGCAGAGGATCGCCACCAGGTCAGCATCTTCTTACCTTCATCCGAACCTGGCAGATGTTTGACTCTGAAGCCCGTTGTGCTCTTTCCTCAGAGGTGTGGTTCAGCTCTTCAACTCTGTCCGGAAACACCAGAAAACAACCAACAACATGGTGAAAGAGGCCGGAGGCTCCGAGAGGAAGAAGTCCAAGATTCTTTCATCGGTGTCAAAACGAGACTTCATTTCTGTCCTGAGGAAAGCAGAGGAGGGAGGCCGAGGCTCCGACCAGACTAACAAGGATCCTGTGAGTTCAGTCAGATCAAGGGTGATTGTGTTTTTACCTGTGGTTGTGTCTCTTTTACTAAAACATCTCCTGGACCAGAGGACAACTTTTAACCTGTACAGAAATGATTGGAGATTAAAAACCGTTCAGTCCACATTTTTCTAATGATTTTTCAAGTCTTTGGGGGTCAGGTAGAGGAAACTGAAGACGTTTTACTTTCAGTGAAGTGTGATAAATCTGATTTTTAGATAATGTTTCTGTTTTAAAACACCCTCATTAATCTAAAACCATCAGAGAATCTAAATGTTTCTGACTGTGAGCAGCCTGCAGTCAGCTGATGGCTCTTATTGTCCTGCAGGCTCCTGGTCCAGAGAAACCTGCCTGGAGTGTCCTCAGAGAGGACTTCATGATGGAAGCTTCAATGAAAGACTGGGACCAGATCAGTGACAACGAGGGTCCCAACTCCAGAGACAACTGAGCCCGACCCCCTGATACCTGAGGGTCCAAACTCCAGAGACAACTAAGCCCGACCCCCTGATACCTGAGGGTCCAAACTCCAGAGACAACTGGGCCTGACCCCCTGATACCTGAGGGTCCCAACACCAGAGACAACTGGGCCTGACCCCTGATACCTGAGGGTCCCAACACCAGAGACAACTGAGCCCGACCCCCTGATACCTGAGGGTCCAAACTCCAGAGACAACTGGGCCTGACCCCCTGATACCTGA